ATATTGCCTTGCTGGTTACGGCTGGATAGTCATGTTTATTTTATTGAAATGCTCAGTTTTACTGACCCACCCCTATTCGATCTTTATCAGATACTTCTGACTTAACACAGGTAGACAATAAACAAGGGAATGGCTTATACATGTACGAACATGTACTCAGATACTACGGTAATGACAGGGGTCGTGTAGTATTCGGCAGGTAGTAAGATTTGAGTCACCTGATCAAGAAGACTGGTCTATGTGTCTAGTTTTTTGAACACGCTCTTTTCCCGAATCAATGCCAACTACCATGATATCGCTGCTGACCTATGGCTAGCAATATTGTCTCATAAACGAATTGAAAACTTCATATCAGTAAAAGCAAATCAGGAGATGTCTTAATAGTACATTCAATATGAGTGGGCGCGGCTTTCTCGACCCCAATTGAACTTTGTACAGTACCTAGAGTCTGTCAATTACGTATATTTGAAGTGCCGTCGTTGTTACAGCCACCTCGATTGGCTGAAACGCTGATATTCAATATGAATAACATGATTTCACAAGCCAATAAGAAATATGATACCAGAATGCAGTAGTCTAGATTTAATATGTGCCCAGTCAACGGCGTCATAATAAGGCGGGAATTTAAATAAAATCCCTATTGTTAGCTTGGCAGTGAATAACCGAATAGTATTTTAACCCCGGAAATTATCTTACAAGGTCTACGAATTTTTACAAATTGATAATTTCGACGCTTTATTACTACTGTTTACTGGTAATGGGAACTACGTAGTACAGAATGCTGAATTTCGTCAAGGGACCAGTTTGCATAAACTAGAGTAATGACACTATTATTTGTGCTGTTATTTATAATGAATAATATAACCAATATGAATGTTATATAATATGTTATTTTAGATAACATCACGAAATGAACAATTCTGAGAGAGGTCCCCCTGCAGTGCCCATATGTATAATACATCAATCAGACTTGCGGTTTTTAGGAAGGAGTGAAAAATATTACTTTTTACAAAAAATGACAAAAATATTCAAAAAAATTAGAAAATTGAATATATCATCATGAAATGAACAAATCTAAGTAAGGTCTACACAATGAACATATACACCAAGTATCAAAGCAATTAAAAAGAGAAGAAGAACAAGTAAAAAGTTTGACAATTTCTTTTGACTCAATCACCTTAGCTCACACACTTGACTAATTATATTGTAACAAGAAACATGGGCAGACTGCTTGACTCATTGAAAGGAAGTAAGAAATGTAAAAATAAACAACATATGTATATACAGAATGAATTATTTTTTATTGATCAATGTTTACTATTATTGACTTTTCTCGTTTCTGTGTTTTAATCGAATCGTTTATGTACTCGTATTTTTCGTGGCGTTAAAAATAAATTTAACCACGCCGCACATTTACATGTATCTACGTATTTTTCGAGGTGTTAACAAAGAAATATTTAATCACGCTAAACATTTATACACTACGCAACTATTTTTCTTACTCACATCGTATGTTTTTTTGTGACGTTAAAAAAAATACTCAACCATGTCATAAATATATACTCCATGTCAATATTTCATTCTTGTTTACTTCTTTTGTGCAATAAACTCCATTAGTTTTCAAAATGACGTGTATTTATTAACGTGTGTGTGTGTGAGCGCCCTCTACGATACATTCTGAAAATCTTTCGTCCACGCCTGTCCAATTAAAAAAATAATTAAAACATCCAATTAAATAATAATAATAAAAAAAATGATGGTAATTTATGCAAATGTATTCACGATGACCTCGACACGACCTCGTATTCACATCAATTTTATGTATGCAAATGTATTTACAATATCCCATTGTGACGTCATCCTCATTCAATGAACCCCTTTACGGCCATGTCCTCATTTATGATAATTTATGCACGAAATGCTATTGTGACGTCATCAGTTATGCTAATCTTGCTCCCACCTCGGATACACTATGGGGACGTCCATG